TTCATCGGTGCTTGCATGCCTCGTGTTGCGGTCCCATCTCTAACAGACAAAGATAAAAACACAGAGAGAGAGAGAGAGAGAGAGAGAGAGAGAGAGAGAGAGAGAGAGAGAGAGAGAGAGAGAGAGAGAGAGAGAGAGAGAGAGAGAGAGAGAGAGAGAGAGAGAAAGAGAGAGGAGGAGGTGAGATAGGGAGAGAGAGAGAGAGACAGAGAGAGGACAGAGAGAGATAGAGAGACAGATGAGAGAGAGAGAGAGAGGAGAGAGAGCGAGAGAGGAGAGAGAGAGAGGACAGAGACAGAAGCATGAGAGAGAGCCGAGAGAGAGACAGAGAGAGAGAGAGAGAGAGAGAGAGAGAGAGAGAGAGAGAGAGAGAGAGCGAGAAAGAAAAGAAGAAAAAGTGAAAGATAAAGAGTAAGAGAGAAACAGAGAGCGACAACGCGCATGCTCTTGTAGTTACTGTCTTTAAGTTTCTAATCTTAGAATTTGGCAGTGCTGTCATAGTCAAACGGCGATCGAGATGGAAGCTTTTCGTCTTCGCTCTTCACCGTCGCGCCAGCTTGGGCTGGGAGTCTAGGACAGCTTCGCCAATCCAGGTCGCCGTGCTACGTGCTGGCGCTTTTTTTTCGCTGGCCGAAGGCGCGTCGTTCTTGTGGCCTGGCGAGGGGGGGAAAATTACACTATTGTGTGGTTCATCGCCTTGCCGCAGACCTGGTGCATAGCCACGCTGCAGATGCTGCGAGGCGTTTAGCCAAGCGTTCTCGGACAGTTGATGTTTCTGACACGCGGGTCGGTCCGGTCTCCGACGGCCGCTTGAAGAAGGATGTGGCGTCGCCTGCTGCCGAGTTCAGTTCTCATTGGCTCAGCAGAACAAGTGCGTGCCATCCTCAAGCGGGTGGGGGACTACGACTGTGCGCATAGTCAGCAGACGCTGAAAGCTTCTAAAACGTCTTTAAGTCAAGAGGAAATAGTGATTAGAAGCGAGATCGCGAAGAATGGATCATCCCGAGCGGTTAGATGCGGACCAGTTGCAGACCCTGGCCGCACGAGTCAGTTGCAGGGCGAGTTCTGTAACTGGCATGTCCTCGCCAGTCTTTCGGCGCACCGACGCACCAGGCCTCCTAGACACAAAGAGGGAGAAAGAGAGAGAGAGAGAGAGAGAGAGAGAGAGAGAGAGAGAGAGAGAGAGAGAGACAGAGAGAGAGAGTGAGAGGAAGACAAAGAAACAGCAAGAGACAGGCAGAGAGAGAGAGAGAGAGAGAGTGAGATTGACAAAGAAAGAGTAAGCAAGAGAAAATGATTCAGAAAGAGACACAATGATATAGATAGTAAGAAAGACATAAAAGAAAGATTGACAGATTTAAAGAGGCTTCATGAAACAGTTGAGCAGAACAGTTTATTTATGCCAGCTCTTTACCTCTTGACTTCAAATTTTCAATTCCTGGAACCCTATAACCCAAACAGTCATTTAAGCGCGAGTTAGTTTAGACAAAGCGTGAGGTTCGGGCTTTGCGTGGGCTGGAAGTTGTTCGTGATGGAGACGAAAGCGCACGTAGATGCTGGCTGCGGATTCGAGCTAAATAGCGAGCTCTGAGGTGTGACATGGTCCCTGACAGTCTTGAGACTTTTCGGAAAGTCAAAAAGATCTAAACCTGAACCCTAACCCTACACCCATACCCCAAACCCTCAACTCCTAAGCTTGAGCAAACAAAAACATATACCTCCTACTCGTATTACTACTACTACTACTACTACTACTACTACTACTACTACTACTACTACTACTACTACTACTACTACTGCTACTGCTACTGCTACTGCTACGAACAACTACTACTGCGACTACCAGTACTAGTAACATAAAGCAAATTTGAAAGGTTGTGAGCTCATCTTATATATATATACAAATCTACATGTCTGCTGATGAATAGAAGTATACTAGGATATCATATATATATATGAATCTATATATGAGAGAGGGACCTTTATGTACTATGTTGCCACTCGCCTTGGCCTGTAGGTATATATAGAAATATAAAACTATATTTTTAAGATTTAGAAGCTTAAATTCTTTAAATTCTTTAAATTCTTAGGCTTCCTCAAGAATTTAAAGAATTTAAAGCTTTAAATTCTTTAACTTCTTTTAATTCTTGGGCCTCCCAAAGAATTTAAAGAATTTAAAGATTTTAATGAATTTAAAGCTTTGAATTCTTTAAATTCTTTAAATTCTTGGGCCTCCCCAAGAATTTAAAGAATTTAAAGAATTTAAAATTTAAGAATTTAAAGCTTTAAATTCTTTAAATTCTTTAAATTCTTGAGGAAGCCCAAGAATATAAAGAATTTAAAGGTCTAATTTCTTTAAATTCTTTAAATTCTTTAAATTCTTTAAATTATTTAAATGGGCTGGCCGAGGCCATCAAATTAAAAAACATTCGAATCTTTAAATTCTTTAAATTTAGGCCCAAGAATTTAAAGAATTTAAAGAATTTAAAGATTTAAGGAGTTTAAAGCTGTAAATTCTTTAAATTCTTTAAATTCTTTAAATTATTTAAATGGGCTGGCCGAGGCCATCAAATTAAAAAAGATTCGAATCTTTAAATTTTTTAAATTCGTTAAATTCTTAGGCCTCCTCCAGAATTTAGTGAATTTAAAGAATTTAAAGATCGAGGGCCTCGGCCAGCCCCTTTAAATAATATGAAGAATTTAAAGAATTTAAAGAATTTAAACCTTTAAATTCTTTAAATTCTCAGGCCTCCTCAAGAATTTAAAGAATTTTAAGAATTTAAAGAATTTAAAGCCTTAAACTCTTTAAATTCTTTAAAGAGTTTAAATTCTTTAAATTCTTGGGGAGGCCCAAGAATTTAAAGAATTTAAAGAATTTAAAGATTTAAGGAGTTTAAAGCTTTAAATTCTTTAAATTCTTGAGGAGGCCCAAGAATTTAAAGAATTTAAAGGTTTAAATTCTTTAAATTCTTTAAATTCTTTAAATTCTTTAAATTATTTAAAGGGGCTGGCCGAGGCCTTCGAATTAAAAACATTTAAATCTTTAAATTCTTGAAATTCTTTAAATTCTTTAAATTCTTAGGCCTCCTCCAGAATCTAGAGAATTTAAAGAATTTAAAGATCGAGGGCCTCGGCCAGCCCCTTTAAATAATATAAAGAATTTAAAGAATTTAAAGAATTTAAACCTTTAAATTCTTTAAATTCTCAGGCCTCCTCAAGAATTTAAAGAATTTAAAGAATTTAAAGCCTTAAACTCCTTAAATTCTTTAAATTCTTTAAATTCTTGAGGAGTCCCAAGAATTTAAAGAATTTACAGGTTTTCATTCTTTAAATTCTTTAAATTCTTTAAATTCTTTAAATTCTTTAAATTCTTTAAATTATTTAAAGGGGCTGGCCGAGGCCTTCGAATTAAAAACATTTAAATCTTCAAATTCTTTAAATTCTTTAAATTCTTAGGCCTCCTCCAGAATTTAGAGAATTTAAAGAATTTAAAGATCGAGGGCCTCGGCCAGCCCCTTTACATAATATAAAGAATTTAAAGAATTTAAAGAATTTAAACCTTTAAATTCTTTAAATTCTCAGGCCTCCTCAAGAATTTAAAGAACTTAAAGAATTTAAAGAATTTAAAGCCTTAAACTCTTTAAATTCTTTAAATTCTTTAAATTCTTGGGGAGGCCCAAGAATTTAAAGAATTTAAAGAATTTAAAGATTTAAGGAGTTTAAAGCTTTAAATTCTTTAAATTCTTTAAATTCTTTAAATTCTTGAGGAGGCCCAAGAATTTAAAGAATTTAAAGGTTTAAATTCTTTAAATTCTTTAAATTCTTTAAATTATTTAAAGGGGCTGGCCGAGGCCTTCGAATTAAGAACATTTAAATCTTTAAATTCTTTAAATTCTTTAAATTCTTAGGCCTCCTCCAGAATTTAGAGAATTTAAAGAATTTAAAGATCGAGGGCCTCGGCCAGCCCCTTTAAATAATATAAAGAATTTAAAGAATTTAAAGAATTTAAACCTTTAAATTCTTTAAATTCTCAGGCCTCCTCAAGAATTTAAAGAATTTAAAGAATTTAAAGAATTTAAAGCCTTAAACTCCTTAAATTCTTTACATTCTTTAAATTCTTGAGGAGCCCCAAGAATTTAAAGAATTTAAAGGTTTAAATTCTTTAAATTCTTTAAATTATTTAAAGGTGCTGGCCGAGGCCCTCGAATAAAAAACATTTAAATCTTTAAATTCTTTAAATCCTTTAAATTCTTAGGCCTCCTCCAGAATTTAGAGAATTTAAAGAATTTAAAGATCGAGGGCCTCGGCCAGCCCCTTTAAATAATATAAAGAATTTAAAGAATTTAAAGAATTTAAAGAATTTAAACCTTGAAATTCTTTAAATTCTCAGGCCTCCTCAAGAATTTAAAGAATTTAAAGAATTTAAAGCCTTAAACTCTTTAAATTCTTTAAATTCTTTAAATTCTTTAAATTCTTTAAATTCTTGGGGAGGCCCAAGAATTTAAAGAATTTAAAGAATTTGAAGATTTAAGGAGTTTAAAGCTTTAAATTCTTTAAATTCTTTGAATTCTTTAAATTCTTGAGGAGGCCCAAGAATTTAAAGAATTTTAAAGGTTTAAATTCTTTAAATTCT